TGACCCACAAAGGGCCCATGATTTGGATAGGGAGATTACTTTGCAAAAAATTTATTATAGGCCTGAAGATTATTATTAGACAGCTGAAAAAATGCAGGATGCATGTAGAAGGGCTGGACATAATTTTTCATTAACTGTGATAAAGAATTGGCTAAATAAGCAAGCTATTTTTCAGATCCATAAGCCTCATTCTAACTTTATTCAATATGCTTCTTTTAATAGAATACATGATTTAAATGAAGTACATCAATCGGATACTACTCTTATGCTCTATGATAAAATTGGCAATCGAATTTACAAGCACAGAGGAGTAATAAAAGATGTAGCAACTAGATTCTGTAAAAGTTATGCTTTAACTAATAAGTCATCGATATCATTAGCTAAAATATTTATGAAAATTTATGGTGATCCGAATTGCCTCCTTACCTGGCCTAAAGTTTTAATTGTGAATAAAGGTACTGAATACTTAGGTGAGTGCAAAGATTTATTACTTAGCTATGGTATAAAAATTCAGTATGCTGTAACTAAGGAAGGTGTTGCTATCGCTAAGTGTGATTATCAAGAATTTGAAAAACATGCTTTTTATAGACAAGATGCTGTAGATTTTCGTTTACCATTAACTGAGAGATGTAGAGCTTGGGTTAAAGGCCTTCGCATAAATGATGATACTTTTAATAATACTGTTACTGGATTAATACATATGACTCCTAATGAGGCTGTAAAAAGAGCATTAAAAGGTAAAAAAAATATTTGCAGAGCCGGCAGTAAAACATAGAAGACCTGTTGGATTTGATGAACCATGTTTGTCTTATAAAGATTTTGTTCGATATTTACTTAAACCTGGTGAATTAGAATATGGTCCATCTATAAGACGGATTACGGATAAAAATTGGTCTTCTCAGGTTTATCGGATTGAAAGTACTTTAATTCGTGAAGGTCAATCTGTTATGTATAAATTAGAAGATAGACCAGAAAAAAAATTTGTTCGTGAGCAATTACAATTGATTAAGAAAGTTGAACTTCCTCTCACGTGAGTGCTTAAATAATAATTTACTCATCTATAAGTATATCCTCAATAGCTTCTTCAATTTCTGTTTCAGTCATAAGCTGATCCTTTTTGGATAGCTCATAATAAAGATTATATAAATCTTCTATACTGGTAAGTAGTTCCTTTTTACCTTGATACCATTTTCTATATCTTGATATTCTTTTATTATATGCATCATTATTTGGGAAAAGTGTTATTGCTGTATATTTTATATACTCATCTTGGTTATCTGCATTACGCAAATTTTTTATATATCCAGCATATTCACTAATAAGCTTACTATCTTTTCTATATC